CCCCCCCCCTCCCGGACAACCCACAGACATTTAGGTTTTACAGCTTGAATAGTCAATTCAGTAAGTCGCAGCGCTGATATTGCAATTTTCACAAAATAGTTGTTGTCCGTAGAGTACGCATGAACAGCTACTGAATAGTACATGAACCAACGCTGTAAATGTAAAACAAATATAATTCATTCGAAGGTATTGCATTCAGTGGCTAAACACAACAGTATGATAAAATTTCACATCGTAGAATATGTTAGAATTATGCTTACAACCAAATGGCCATAAACCAAGCCTTTTTCTCTTTGGAAGAGGGGTAATTGATCATAAAATCTGCCACTTGAGTGGGGAATTTAGACGCAGTTTTGGCCCTTGGGGTGCCGGGAATTTAAACGAACCAATCTTCAAAAAGTTCAAGAACCGGGGGTGGGGGTGGGTTACCCAGAGGGTGGGATTTTGAAGCTTTGAAATGATCGACGCTTAAATTTTAACCAATACAAAAGATTAAAGCCAGTCCCCAGAATTGTTAAAAACATATTCTCAGCCTAAAGCAAAAAACCCATTTTTTTTACTGAGAAACTTTCTCAGATTAAATGCCATTTTCCAGTAAACAGCCTAAATTTTATGACATAATCCTAACCCACTGAGAAAATTTCTCACATTTGCTATCAATCAAATTCGCTGACGAAGGAGCGGCAGTAACCATTGCCTTGGCCTGCGAACAGACCGTTGCTTGGTCTCGTCACGCAACGAAGGAAAGAGTGCAATAGGGGAATGACACTACAGGAAGCGTGACATCAATGCAGTTTCTTTTTGCCAACAGTTATTCAGACAAGAGTGGCAATAGACTATAAAGTACGTGTGTCTGAGTTTATTTTAGATAAATTGGAAGGTTTCTTTGCTCTCCACTGATCGATATTTTCATTGGAATCTTTTGAAAGTAAAGGCTCTTTTCTTTTACAAAAATACAAACATCAGTTACTTAGAAGCCTATTTCAACCCACCCATGGAAAAAAATCTTTTGCATGCGTACCATGCCTACGTTTACGTCAGTTAAGGGCGGACAAAACAAATCGCTCTCCCACGAGATCTCGTTGATAAGCGAGTCACACCGCGAATTGTGTAATAAACTGAGATCCCTGAAAGCTCGATTAAGGTTTGTAAAGAATACCTATAGATGACGAATTGGATTTAGAGTAATAATTTAGTCGTTTGGTTTCCTTTGTTTTTGGTCTTTTTCCTCTTTTCTGTAGTTTTGTGCACCCTGATGTCACCTAATGATGCATGTCTTTTCTGCAAAAGATTTACCACGACCCTACCCACGTGAATGCTTTGCAGTTTGTTGCTGCTTTCAAAACAGTCAGAAGAGTATACTTACAATGAGAAGTGATTTACTGTAAACGTCACTGTCCCATTTTCAAGAACCGTTATATTTTCTAACTGCTCTGTGACTTCATTCCATTCTCTTTCATCCTCTTCAGA